ATATGTTACGAGAAGACCTTCTCATAGGTCGGTTAGACAGTTCACGGACCCCGCTCGGGCCTTGCCCGAGCCTTGTTTTGGAAGAGCAGTTATGGGGCGGGCTTGGATGGTGGTATTGAGTTAGAAACTCTGTTGACCTGGAGATTTATACCTGCGTTTCTTTTTATGGGCAGGCCTGAGCAACAAGTTAGGCTTGACCTCACTCGAGCCCGATCAATGATCACTTCTAATTACAAGAGCTTTTGTCGATGAAACTTACTTACACCTCGACTCTTTTCTCGTGTTTGTTTTCTTAAATACTAGCGATTTGTGTCAGCAAAGTCTCGACTTTTTAGGATTACTTAAGCCCATAGTACAGAAATAGTAGTTCATGTAATATTTTCTCCGCGTTACAAATAATTTCGAGCTATCCTTCGCAATGGCAAATGGGTGTTTTGAGCTCATTTTCCCTTTTAAGTTTGAGCTCTGTATCCGACACCCCAAATTTCTAAACTTATAGGAAGTGATCCCTTCTAATTTGCATGACCATTCTATTTCACTTCACCAGAAATCTTATCCTCCTTCTCTTCCTTTCCTCCATCGGACTTCCTCTCTTGATCTTCCTCAGCCTTTCGTCTTGCTTCCTCCGCCGCCGCTTCGAGCGCCTCGATCAAGTTCCTCAAGCAGGCCTCCGCCGTGTCTTGGCCGTCGGACTTGGGCATCAGGTTCTCAGCGACGTTGGCAAGAGTCATGTCGGCCTCCTCGAGCAGTCGGGCAATCGTTGCGAACAGCGGATGGCGTTCGACGTCCAAGTAGTTCCACGAGAGGACCTCGAACGCTTCGAAGCAACAATGGGACATCTCTATGGGCTTGTCCATCCTTCCTCTTCTGATAAGAGCAGGGTCGAGCTTGTCCATGTAGTTGGTGGTGAATGCTATGATTCTCTCTGCACCACAAGCTGACCAAATCCCGTCGATGAAGTTGACGAGGCCAGACAGAATGACCTTGCTGCTTTTCTGCTCCTCTTCGGCCATCTTCTTCATGGGGTCGGCCTCCCGGTCGCCGTCGTTGTTGTCCTTCTTCTCGTTCTTGTTACACTGGCCGGAGAGGTCGAGCAAGCAGTCGATGTCCTCGATCACGATATGACGGACTTGCCCGACGTCTCGATCAGGAGCTTCTTCAACTCCGTGATGTCCTTGACCGTTGTCAGCTCGAGATCGTACACGTCGTAGTTCAGGAAATTGGCCATCGCGGCGATCATGGTGGACTTGCAGGTGCCCGGCAGGCTTCCAGGCCTTCCCGATCTTGTCGTAGTACTCCTTCCCCTGGCTGAACTTCTCGAGGTCGTTCATGATCTCCCGCTTCTTGCTCGGCCGCATTGCTAGAGTCTCGAAGCTCGCGGGATGCTCGAAAACCACGTGGCTCCACTTGTTCTTCTTGTAACTCGACCAATTGTCGCTCGGATTGTTCGTGTAGAGCTTCGGCTACCGGCTCTTAGCGGCGATCGCCTTTCCCTTCGTCAAAACGTGTTTGATATAAGATCGAGCGATCAATTCCCGGCGGTGCCGGTGAAACTTGAGCCGGTAGTGCCTCGGCTCATCGGCCACGGGATAGAAAGAGAAGGACATGCTCCTGTTGGTGTTAACAAATAAGGCTTTTTTCTTGTCCCACGTTGGAAAAAAAAGGAAAGTTTTGGTCAATTTATAAGTTAAGATATTATCATTTATTGTAAATGGAGATAAATAGGTGAGTGGGCTAGACCTCATGATATTCGCGTGCGGGTGTGCGATTTTAACGCACATATTAGGCACGCTTAGCAATTAATTAACAATTTATTTATTTATTTATTTTTAACTTATGACCGTTCGGACAAACGAGATTTCTCTTCATTTTCGCCTTCCTTAAGAGAAAAACGAGACAGCCATTTTCTCAATTGTTTCGCAGAGAGTTTTAGGAGATTTACTGGAATTGCCATCCAGTATTCTCACCGTAACTTTATTATATTTTGAAGGGAATTTGCCAGTAACCTATAATAGCTTCGTGAGGTAAATTGATCCTAAAAGAGAGTGATTACACGACTCAAAGTCCAACTACGTTCCGATTCCATTTCCTACTAACACATTTTTTCCAAACAATTTTTAACAGCTCCTGGAGGCGGTTTTGTCGGAGGACCACCAGACTTTTACGCCCTTGAATTCGTCAGCCCTTGAATTCGTCAGTGACCTCTTCGTGGTCGTCCATGCTTTAGGATGATGGATTGGCTGTCCTGGACCGAGTCGGCCTTGAGCCTCCTGGCTCGGGAAGCGACGGTGGCGGTGAGGTAGTTTTGGATAGCTGCGTAGGCCTCGCCACGCTTGAGCCGCTCGCCCGTGAACTCGGGGAACGCGATCTGGACATAGGGATTGACCAGGCTCGCCAACTTGCGGGCGTACCGTTCTGTGTGGTTGCGGAGTTGGGGAGGCATGTACTGCTGGAAAATCACCCATACGACCACCAACCCGCCGATCGCCGAACCGAACTCTAGGAACATCCCATCTCTCCGGCAAATTTTTCCTTTTTTTCTCTATTGAATCTATGAAGGGTCAGCATAAAATGCTCTCAGTTCATTGCCATTCTAGTGCTCTTTATAACATGGAATGAGGAACGGCATAGCATTCTTCCGCATCAAGTAAGCCACGAGACTGACCAGAGTCTCCGGGAGAAAGTGCTCAGCAAGTCGACACCTCTGATTACGAGACTGACTAGAGAAGATCGATCGACTTGACCGAACGGGTAGAAATAGGTGTCGACTACGCCTCTAGGAGCACGCAAAGATAGATTATTAAGGTCAAAAGGCGCTGTATCTTTACAGCTCAAGCATATTAGTTTCTGGAGTGTACAGCTATGGAGTTGCTCTTTCATTGTCCCTTACCTACAATACCAGACAGGACCTCCTTTACAGACTTGTATACCTCTTCAATCGGCCTCTCAGCATCAATCTAAGCCCCGCCCAGAGGACGACCAGAAGGGAAAAAACCAAGTCAGCCAGTGATTACCGACACTCGTTTCTACAAGCAGATGAACGCAAAAGCAAAGAATCAGCACTTACCTTTCGAACTTTGCCCTTTGAGTTATAGTAATTGATCACAGGAACAGTCGCTTCGGAGTAAACTTTGAGACGGTTCCGAATGGTCTCAGCATTGTCATCAGCTCTTCCCTTCATGGTTGCGAATTTAGCACTCGGAGAGACTTATTAACTTCACAATTTGTTCTAAGTAGTGAAAAAATAGCAAAGCATTCCCACCTGATTCCTGCTTAGAAGGCGCCTCATTGATTCCTGCTCTGAGCAATCGAAGAATAGTATGGCATCAGCCTCGATCTTCATCTGCATGGAAAATTATTATGAAGAAATGACCAAAGCAATAAACAGTCAAGTATGAGAAATCATTGAACAGTGGCGAATGATATAGAACAGAAGTAACGGCGCACAATGTTCTCGGCCACAGCGAGATTTTCTTCGTTACGTGGGAAACCGTCGATGAGGAAGTTCTTGCTTTCGCTTCTGCGCATTGCCTGCTGCAGAAGCTTGACAACTATTTCCGAGGGAACCAGCTTTCCTTCTTGTTTTAAGTCCCGGATCATCTTTCTGTTAAATGAAAAGCAAATGTTACAGCGAAGCCATCCTCGGAGGGTTAACAGAACGCCTTTCCTTAGGACATTGTCAAATTAGAAACTAAGAAGCCGGTTCTACAACATGCACAATTTAGAAAGTTTTTATACTTTTGGGTATTAGAAAGTTCAAAAATATCAAATACCCTTCTTTGGAACCAGATTCAACTTCTTTTTGCAGAAGATCACCAGCGCTCAAGTGGCTAAACCCAAACTCCGAAGAAATCTTGGAACACTGCGTGCTCTTCCCACTTCCGGGACCGCCTGCCAGATCACTATTGACGTAATCACCGCAAACTTAATGGACGAAACAGTGAACATTAGAGAATATGCTATATGGATTTAAGTAGTATCGAGCTTTTCCTCGAATTTCAGCCACTCCTGTGAATCGTGCTGTCCACTGATGAACAATTCGTCACCCAAAATGAATTGATGCTGTGTAGCATATAGCCTTCAGACCAACAAGATTTGTTTTGCATAAGGTTCATGGTGCTCTATCTTTTATTACAATAGAAGCAAAAGTGATGTGGATCATTCAAAAATCAAAGTCGATTTGCTTTATTAAAAGACGATTCTCTCTTCTCTTTAATTCTTTGTTCACTTCCTTCTTTTAAGCTTTTCACCAAATTGCAACTAGAGATAAGGAAAACGCAAAACCCAGCTACCGTCAGTCTAGCCGTTTGAACATCCAAATTAAGTCTGAAACCTGATGGTTTGACACACACAACTAGCATCACAGTCCGACCGAGGATTGCTCGATCTGTCTAGAGGCCAAGCTATCAACATAAGAGTTAAACAAAAAATCAAATCAATCCACCCTCATCCGTTTCCCTTGTTCAATTGCCACATCCACCACCGACGCTTCGCGATCGACGAAGCGACGAACCATTTAAACACTCCATCAGGAAGAACCCACAAAAACGACATGTACCGCCATATGCAGGGAATCATCCTTTGCATGTGCAAGAAGTGCGAAACCGAACATCACGAGAGCAAGCAAGAAAGAAAGTTGCGGAATTTACCTAAAACATACACAACCCTGTACTCATTGGGATGGCCATCCCCTGCATCCTGCCACTCAAAAGCAACCGTTGGCCAATACAATTGACAGCACCCAAACACATGCCAAAATACCAGCTATCTTTCTACTTCTTGTTTGGGCCAATATACTGTCGCCCATCGACACTGCTAATGAGAGAAATTAACTTGCTAATGGGTCAATTAGGACGAACTGGCGATCCAATATGACTTTACCTGATCAGACTTCGTTTGTATAACCTCCTCCGGCGTGACAGTTTCTCTTCCAGTTGCACCATCTTCTGCCACAGCTTCCATGACCAACCAAGCAAAAAAATTGGAGGAGAAGAAGAAGAATCGAGTGCGGAGAACTCAGAAAGTTGACGAGCTGGTACTGGAGAAGCATCGAAGACGCTACCCGACCATGAAAGCGGTAGCGGGCCAAAACTCGGGCCTTTGGGCCCGGCCCGGAATGCGGAAGTCAACCAATTTTCAAACGCTTGCAAACCAAGGAGAAGAGGTAACGGAACCCGCCAAAGCATGAGCGCCATTGTTGATGGCCCTTCGCTTCTCCTCCTCCTCTCCTCACTTTCATGTCAACGCGCTGTCACTTCTCACGCTCTTCTCGCAGCCCTCTCGCGGTGCCGTGCAAGTTTTGAGATGCTCGACGGTCGCCGCGGGAGCTCCGAGGTTGTCCTATCTGAGGAAGACGTTCTCGCATCTTTTCCAGGACTGCTCGAGCCAGAGAGCCCTGGTGCCCGGGAAACAGGCTCATGCGCGCATGATTGTAACTGGGTTTTCGCCGACGGTGTTCGTCACGAATTGTTTGATCCAGATGTACGTCAAATGTTCGAGCTTGGACCACGCACTCAAGGTGTTCGACAGAATGCCGCTTCGGGACACCTTCTCTTGGAACGCGGTGATATTTGGGTATGCGGGGAGTGGGAACATGGCAGCCGCGGAGGCACTTTTTCGGTTGATGCCCGAAAAGGACGTCGTCTCGTGGAACTCTGTGGTATCCGGTTTTCTACAGAATGGTGATAGTTGGAAAGCGGTTGGTGTTTTTATGGAGATGAGAGGAGCGGGAGTGGCGCTCGATTACACCACTTTGGCCGTTGTTTCGAAAGTATGTTCGTGCTTAGAAGATCTGAACTTGGGAATTCAGATCCATGGACTTGCAGTGAGGATGGGAGTTCATGAAAATGTAGTCGCAGCGAGTGCTTTAATTAACATGTATGCCAAGTGTAAGAAATTAGATAGATCGCTTCAGCTCTTTGCAGAAATGCCAGAGAGGAATTGGGTTTCATGGAGCGCTGTAATTGCCGGTTGTGTCCAAAACAATCAATTGATTGAGGGTTTAGAGATATACAGGGAAATGCTGAGAGCCGGATGTGGAGTGAGCCAATCCACTTACGCGAGTGTCTTCAGGTCATGTGCAGGGTTGTCAGCATTAGGAATTGGCACTCAGTTACATGGTCATACATTGAAGAGTGACTTTGGAGCTGATATCGTAGTAGCGACAGCCACGTTGGACATGTATGCGAAGTGTGACAACATGGAACATGCTAGAAAGTTGTTTAACTCAATGCCAGATCATAGCTTGCAGTCATATAATGCCATTATTGTTGGGTATGCTCGAAGCGGTCAAGGATTTGAAGCTTTGCATCTATTTAGAAATTTGCAGAAGTCTGGTCAAGGTTTTGATGAAATAAGTTTGTCGGGTGCATTAAGTGCATGTGCGATAATTAAAGGGCTTTTTGAGGGGCTTCAAATTCATTCACTAACAATTAAGAGCACCTTGAATAACAATATATGCGTCGCAAATGCCCTGTTGGATATGTATGGAAAATGTAGAGCTTTATCGGAAGCATGCTGTATTTTTGAGGAAATGACAATTAGAGATGCTGTATCATGGAATGCGATCATTGCAGCACATGAGCAGAATGATAATGTAGAGGAAACGCTCATGCTATTTGCTTCGATGCTTCGATCAAAGATGGAACCTGACGAATTCACGTATGGAAGTGTCTTAAAAGCTTGTGCAGGTAATCAAGCTCTGAGTTGTGGCATGGAGATTCATAATAGAGTAATCAAATCCGGAATGGGGTTGAACTGGTTTGTAGGGAGTGCATTGGTTGACATGTACAGTAAATGTGGGATGATAGAAGTGGCAGAGAAGATCCATTTTAGAACAGAAGAACAGACGATGGTTTCTTGGAATGCAATCATATCTGGGTTCGTAATGCAAAAGCAGAGTGAGGATGCTCAGAGATACTTCTCTTGGATGTTGGAGATTGGTGTAGAGCCCGATAACTTCACTTATGCAACAGTTCTTGATACTTGTGCTAATCTTGCTACTGTCGGTCTAGGGAAGCAAATCCATGCTCAAATCTTGAAATTAGAGCTGCAAGCAGATGCTTACATTTGCAGCACCCTTGTTGACATGTACTCGAAGTGTGGAAATTTGAAAGATTCCCAGTTGATGTTTGAGAAAGCACCTAAGAGAGACTTTGTGACATGGAATGCAATGATCTGTGGGTACGCACATCATGGGCTTGGTGAAGATGCCCTTAAAGTTTTTGAGAGGATGCAACTTGAAAACATGAAGCCAAACCACGCTACTTTTGTGTCAGTTCTTCGAGCTTGTGCACACATGGGACTTGCTGAGGAAGGATTGCAGTATTTTCACTCTATGCAACCTGCATATGGTTTGGATCCCCATTTGGAGCATTACTCGTGTATGGTGGATATTCTAGGGAGGTCAGGCCAAGTTGATGATGCTCTAAAGCTTATTTATGACATGCCTTTTGAAGCGGATGCTGTTATTTGGAGAAGTCTACTTAGCGCTTGCTGTGACCATGGTAATGTGGAAATAGCAGAAGTGGCAGCAAATTCTCTACTGCAATTGGAGCCGGAAGATTCTTCTGCATATATCCTCCTATCGAATATATATGCCAATGCAGGATTGTGGAACGAAGTTTCGGAGATGAGGAAAGTAATTAAGAGTAACAAGTTAAGGAAGGAGCCGGGATGTAGCTGGATCGAGGTGAAAGATGAGGTACATACATTTCTTGTGGGAGAGAGGGCTCATCCAAAATCAAGAGAAATTTACGGGAAGCTTGATCTGCTCATCAATGAAATGAAAGGATCTGGTTATGTGCCTGTTGCCAATTTCCTTCTTGATGAGGAGGCAGAAGAAAACGAATCTGAGGAAGAATTGAGAATGAATGTCTAGTCGTAGTTTGGAAATATTGTTAGATTTCTTTGAACAAGAAGAGGCAAAGTCGTGGATAGGGAAAAGAGAGTGCCATTGGCAAATTGTACCGCATGTCGATACAGGGAAGCGACTGAAAAGGTGGCATAGCATAACTACGATCTCTTTAGCACAGATACAGTATTTGGTCTCTCTGTGAATGATCTTCATGATAGCAATTACTGCTGACCGGAGAACTCTCGGGATGCCCGCTGTTGATGACAGCAAGGTCCGAGATTAATCTCAAAGAGAAGATTTACTTCGAGATTCTCAGGGGAACCTGAAAACTGAATGGGAAGCGCATGCAAAAATGCAGGATTCAGGATTATAAGTCACGGAGTATCTTTGATTGCAGGAGGACAGAACCTCCATCTTTTCACTTCTTTGGGCTACATTAATTCTTTCCTGATGAGATACGTGATAATTGTCCTAAAAATCCGGAGTTCGACAAATGATACATTGCAACTTCGGAGTAGCTTTCCACCAGCCGAGTTTCTTTTCTAAAACGCCATGCACGCTCAGACTCTTGCTCGGGGCATAAGCCTTCCCTAGACCAAGAGCAACAGCAACTGAACCCCAGAGTAATACACCCTCCTCATCAGTTGCAACTTGCAGCATCTTCTTTTGTTCATTCCCTTGTCCAGAGGTAAGCGGCACCTGGCCGCAATGAAAGCGATGCGGCACCCGAGTCATTTTTTCGGCAGCTGTCTACGGATCTGTCACATGTTGGCGAAAAAGTTGAGGACGGTAAAGATGACATCCTAATGTTTCCAGTCGCAATCGAATGGACATCTTAACTAAGACCTCTGGCCACAAATGGCTTGTGGAGTTCACATCATGCTCTTCCTTGTCATCTTCCACTCTCAATGCACCACACCATCTTGCCATCACACTTTGCATATCTTTGGAGGGTCGAATTCACACGAGCGTGACGCCGCGTCCCCAACAGTACGGCGGCCCTTTTGATGGCGGAACTTGCCAAACGCCGCAGGCCGGCACGGAGATGGCGTTAACCATGCCGGCGGGGCCCGTGGGCCCCACCACGATGCCCGGCATCTCTCAACCCGCGAATCCAATCTCCATAGGACAAGCGACATGTGGCGACACGACCCGGATTCGACCCACAAAACTTTAATTTTAATTTTATTTTATAAGCACCGTGTTCCAGAGCAATTCTATTTTCCTTTCTATTAATATAAATAAATTCTTAAATTGGGCAATGAGAGACGGAAGGGCCATTTTTGTTTTGTCCAAGGGAACGCGCCAAAAAAATGTTGGTGGCCCAATAGGCGATCGATTGACATTGCTTGGGTCAGCTAACTACACGTGTCGCAACCACAGCCACGAATTTGATAATGGTACTTATGATTAGTGAGCTGATTATATTAATTAAATCCGTAATGATGCTCGTTAACGAACGAGGCGTGCGTTGATTGACGAGGAAACACGATGATAAAGGGTAGGGTATTGCGGTACTTTGTGCGGTTTGAACTTGATGGTCCGTGCTTGATTTTGACATTTGCTGGAGGTTAGCTTGGAACATAATCTACGAAAATGCACGTGAATTTTTGTCCAAGTGTTTGTGATCGGGACTTGGCGATCGATGTGTTGGGTAATCGGACATAGTAGGACTTGGATATATTCCGGACCTTTCGTTTTACGGATGATTTTCACGTGGGAGCCACGTGATCTAAGAGCTCGGGCAATGAACACAAATTTTTGCGGAGAAGTTCTTTATGGCTCCACTTTAAAAAGTTAAATTATCGGGCGTGTTGATTGCTCCAAAGCACGAGAGATTCACGAGACTATAATCGAAATTCTAGATCTCCAAGTAAAATAAAAGAGAGTGGGATTTTTTTAAGTAGTCATTTGTAAATCTACTGCCATCGAGTAAAGGACCGCGCATGACATAGCACTCTCTTCGTTCCTAAATGGCAATTCTTCTAACATGCTCGAAAGAGTATCAATTTTCACACGTCTATAGGAAGGAAAAGTTTTAAGACTTAATTGTCCACATCAACGCTAGTCATGTCGCGTAAGATGATCGGCGTCCACGTCAGCGATTTCCAGCCAAAATTGGCTAGAATTATTCAATTGGCAAATTGTCAAAAGGTTTAAGACTAAATTTGCCAAATTGAAAAATTTACGATTAAATTAGCACAAGTGTAATAGAAGTTTGATTATGTAAGGCTTTATGGGAACAAAAAAGAAACGAAAGGAGAAAGGATTTTATATTAGGGAAAATGTCACCAAAAACCCTAAATTATGCCACTTGTGACACATTTACCCTAAACTTTTTTTTATAACACGAAAAACCCCAAATTATGCCACTTGTGATAAATTTACCCTGAACTTTTTTTTATGACACGAAAAACCCCAAACATGCCACTTGTGATACATTTACCTCACAATATTTTGACCCATGGGCATTTTCGTCTTTTTTTTTTTTTTTTTTTTTTTCCTTTCTTCTCCGCGGAGGAAGCCGCGAGGGCAATCCTCGCCGGCGGTGGGTGGGCGAGGGCCGCCCTCGCCGGCCAGCGAGGGTCGCCATCACCGGCGGCGAGGGCGCCGCTCACGCCGTGGCTCGCCAAATCGGCGAGGGCCCTCACCTAACCCACCGCCGGCGAGGATTGCCCTCGCTGGCTTCCCTCCGCTGGAGAAGAAAGGCAAAAAAAAAGAAAAAAAGAAAAAGACAAAAATGTCCATGGGTCAAAGTATTGTGGGGTAAATGTGTCACAAATGGCATAGTTTGAGATTTTTTGTGTCATAAAAAAAAGTTCAGGGTAAATTTGTCACAAGTGGCATAGTTTAGGGTTTTTCGTGTTACAAAAAAAAATTCAGGGTAAATGTGTCACAAGTGGCATAGTTTAGGATTTTTTGTGGCATTTTCCCTTTATATTATATAACATTTGTGGTCTTTTTTCACACAATTGTATCTATTGGCGTTAACTAATTATCCATATCAATGGTGATTGATATGAGTTACCACATAAATTATGACTCCATTTGTTTCTCTAAAAATGAATAATTTAAAAAATACTTTTCGAAAAATGATCATTGGTATCGCTTAAAATAATTAGTCAGCGAAAATTTGTTTTCATTACCGATAATAACTTATACCTAAATATTTTCGTAAATGAGGACAATAATTTTCGTTTATTTATTTTTATAAATAATACGAGCAATCGTTTTGCAAACCGTTTATTCTTCCGCGAAATGAACTAAGGCTGCGTTTGGTCGACCGGATAAAAGCCAGAATAAGATATGTTTTATCCTATCCTGTGTTTGGTGGTGGTCCAGGATAGGATAAGGTCGGATATAGACCGGATAAAAAAATCCGAGGGGGGTGGGATAGACCTGGATAGGATTTCTAATGCCTATTTTTCCAGAAACCCTACACTCCACTCGCTCATCTTCATCCCCACACCTTGTGCGCTTTCACCAAAAAATTTCTCGCTTTTTTCCTTCACCGACTCCTCCGAACTCGTGAATAAAAAAAAAAAAAAAATTATCCTATCCGACTTTAAATCAATTCACCAAACAAATGGCCAGAAGAAATCCGGATTTCTTATCCTATCCTATTCACCTATCCGTTGAAATCCGACAATCAAACGCATTTAAAATTTATTTCGAAACGAAAACGAGCAATACTTATTTACAAAAAGAAAAAAAAAAAGGCGGGTGGCGGGGACCACGTGGAGAAATCTTCTACGTCGGAGTGCAGAATCGTAGCTGTTGAGATTTCTTTTATCGGCGGCCCGATCTGGTCGGCTCGGCCCAAATCCGTTGATTTTTTCTCACGCTTTGACGTTGACTAAAAGAACAGTAAATAATAAAAGTAGAACAATCAAATAAATAATAACAATTCCGACCAAAAATAAATAATAATAATAATAATGGTTTTTGTTCTTTTGCTAATTAAGACAGGGCGACAGGCCCTACACGTCAGGGGGAAGCCGTCCATCCATCCTGAGATTGGTCCCAGATATTCCTAGTCCCCATAATTGAACATTCACGGGTCCTTTCCTATCGCATTCCACATTATCGTTTTAATATTTGGCATGAGTGGGGAGTACTACTGTGCTTTTAATTAAACCAAACTAGGGATGAGCACGGGAACGAACCGGCCGGTTTCTGGGCAGTTTCCGGTTTCTAAATTTGGAACAGGTAATAATCGGTTTAATTCTCGATTCTGGATGTGAACCGAACCATCCTGACCGGATCAATGGTTTGTCTTTTTTTAATGCCAAGAGGCTGGAGAAGAGAACAAAAACGGTGTTCATAGACACACTTGCACTCTGCAAAGTGTTCCATTTCTACAAGAGTTTTAGAAACAACGTTCTTTCCAATCTCTCGTCTGATCCTAGTCTAGAGAATACAAAAGAAAAAACAAATTACGGCCGGTTCTTGAATCCATCCGGGAACCGGATCGGTCGGTTTGGTTTCGAGACTAGATGGACTACTTTTCTAGACTTATTCCCGGTTCCAAAATGGAAACTGGCCCGATCTATCATCGATCACCCATAATTCAAACGCGCATATCCATGATTTTTTTGCAGTTTTTTGTTGGAGAGATATATTAAGCTAGTGTAAGAAAACTTCCAAGAATCGAAATCGAAATATCTTACTAAGTCTTTTCTTAGGTTAGGACAGTACATATTCACCTTTTATTACCTTAGAAGTTTTTTCTTTTAATTTAGTGGTAAAGTGATGTTTAGATCAACTGTCGTGCACCTCGATTAGTCCATTTCCCTAAACGATCATAAAGGTTCGGTCATTCATATCGGCCAATGTATTTAGGATTTACTCATGCAACGCTGCTTCTAACAAGACTCGAATCCAAGATCACAATTGAGATGAACATACCCTCTTCCCATCTAAGCCGACACCTCATCGGCGGGCTGAAACTTCAATTTCACGAAATTTGGGACACTCAATAGGGAAGCACAACACATGCCCTAGAGTTCCATTAACCATATACATTTCCTTTCCTTACGAGGAGCTATATATTTGGCAATTTGCAGATATAACCCTGGATGTGCATTCAATTGAAGCGCTTACTCAAGTGGATCGATTCTCAAGCCAACTAGCTTCGAGCCTTAACAACAATAATTGCCAGCGAGGACTTTAATGATGCATTAGGGGAAACGTGCCGACAAAAATTACCTCAATTTCATCCATTAAATAATGAATTTTTTTCTATCTTTTTTTTTTTGCTGAATAAGATATGAACATTGATTTATACCACCGCCTCGGCCGTGCATTGGCTTAGCGCTCCCCTCCCCCCACGAAGGGTAGGAGTTCGAATCCCAGCTGGCGCAGTTAGGATTCTTAAGCGTGACGTCGTGGTGGTGGGTCCTAGCGTGTCACCCCCGGCTTACCTCCTATTGTCGGCCATGCGGGGTTCCTGTTACCAAAAAAAAAAAAAAACATTGATTTATGATACTATATTTGAATTTTGCATTAATACAGAAAAATACAAAAACAAATAGGAAAAAGAAAACAAAAGCTAGCCTTGCTTGACCTGTAGCGTATGAAATTTCGATTCAAAATGCCCTTTCGCTCTCCACCAAACTTTAGCGCCCCGCTTGTCATGTCCAAATTGGTCACTCCTAAAAAATGTATAAATAAATAGGGTTAATTAATAATACTTTTATTAAAAATAATTTTTTTATTTTTGCCATGCCGGTAAAAAATTTTCTCATAAATAATTTTTTTATTAATAATTTTTTTACAAATATTTGACTAAAATTTTTTTATTGAAAACTAATTTTTTAATATTATTTTTTTATTTTTTCGAATTTTTTTCGAATTTTTTTATTTTTTATTTTATTTTATTTTTCCTTTCCTTTTCTTTTCTTTTTTCCTTCATATTCTTTATCTTAAAATATTTTTATTGAAATTATTTTTTTTTTTTTTTTGCCATGGCCAGTGGTTTAGGCCACTGGCGTAAAATATTTTTTTATAAATATTTTTTATTGAAAAATATTTTTTTATTTTTTTTGCGGCGATTGTGGCGCCCTCTTGAAGTCTGCGGAGGAAGCTCAAGGGCACGCCGAGCTCACCTCTCACTCTAACTTCTCCGAGTCCACCGAGACTGTCCTCAATCTCATCTGTAGCTCCTGCGGGAAGCCCTGCCGATCCAAGACGGCACGCCGAATCCTCGCCTTTTATGGCGTTCTGATTTGTTGCGCTGGCCATTGATTTGGTTTTTGAGTGACTTTAATGATGCATTAGGGGAAGTGTGCCGATAAAATTACCTCAATTTCATCCATTAAATAATGAATTTGTTTCTATCTTATTTTTTTTTGCTGAATAAGATATGAACATTGATTTATGATACTATATTTGAATTTTGACCATTAATACAGAAAAATACAAAAGCAAATCGGAAAAAGAAAACAAAAGCTAGCCTTGCTTGACCTGTAGCGTATGAAATTTCGATTCAAAATGCCCTTTCGCTCTCCACCAAACTTTAGCACCCCGCTTGTCAAGTCCAAATTGGGCACTCCTTAAAAATGTATAAATAAATATAAAAATATCTTTTATTTTTCGTATTAATGAAAATAAGGAAAATTTTCAAATAAGAGTTTAAAGCGAGGCGACTTAGTCTCGAATCACCCCCTCGGCTCATCGGCCGGCCATGGCTTGGAAAGTGCCACGTGAGATGCACGCGCTCACCGACCGGCGAAGATCTAGTCGGGGCCGGTGAGCCGTGATCTCAAGACTTAACGGCCCGCTCCACGGTCTTACTCGGAGACAGGGTCTCACCCGTCGAGACCCTTTTAAGAAACATTACTTTTTGCAAAAGTTGTAGTATAGTAACGATTTGATTAATGACAGATTATGATCACGAGATGCATGAAAAAAAAAAAAAAAACATGGGATAGTGGAGTAAAACATAGTAACTCCGGAATGTTTCACGTTTGTGCAATTTGCATCTCCCCATTATTTAATCATATTCGCACAATATTATTGCATAAGTAAAAAAAAATCCATGAATATTAAATACTCGAATAATGCAAAAAATTCATGGATTTTTTTTTTAGTATATTTTTTTCTGAATTAGGTGGCAGTCAATTCGTATTCGTACGTCGTCGCCGCCGACCGTCTTCTTCGTCGTCCATTCCGTCCTCATCTCTCCGATTCCTCCATAAATTGCTCGCCGACGACGCTCGGTTATTGCGAACAAAAAGAAGCAACCATCTTTCGCTCCGTACCTCGCCGTGTAATCGGATTCCGGCGAAGTTCGCCGCTTCAATCGTTCGCCGCGACCAGCCGGAGCTGGTCGGTCGCCGGTCGCCGGCCGGATTTCTCTTCTCGGGGTCTTCGATAAGCGCCCCCGTCGCTTCCCGCGGCCGCGGAGCTCGATCGCCGCCGACGTTCCGCTTCGGTTGCAGAGGGTTTTTGAAACCGGGATCGCTTGGAATCCCGTCGATATTCGCCTTGCCCCGGAGAACACGTCGGAGCTTGATTCCCGCTCGCTTGCGATTGCTTGACCTCGGAGGTGTTTGGTTGTTGCAGGTGAGTTCGTCTTTGCTTCTAAGTTTGAAGTTTGCTGCGAATCCGATGCTGCTGAGCTTTGAAGCTGACTTTTTTTTTTTTTGTTTGTGAACCAGATAAAGGGGCGCGGAGAGGCTTTAGTCGGAGTCGGGATACGGGAGAAGATCGCCGGAAGATGACGATCGGGGATATTGCGCCGAAGAAGGAGAGGAAGTCGCGGAGGAGCAAGGCGGTCGTGGACGAGAACGCTCCGCTGTTGCCCAAGAGGCAAGACGAGGAGGAGGCCAGCTTCGATGAGTTCAATGGGGCTTCCTTCACCGGGGCGGTTTTCAACCTGTCCACCACGATCGTCGGTGCCGGAATCATGGCGTTGCCGGCGACCATGAAAGTGCTGGGTCTCGGCCTGGGGATCGCCATGATCGTCTTCATGGCTTTCCTGACCAATGCGTCCATTGATATGTTGCTCCGGTTTAGCAGGGCGGGCAAATCCGTCTCGTACGGTGGTCTCATGGGGGATGCTTTCGGCAAGTACGGGAGGATTCTGTTGCAGATATGCGTCATGGTCAACAACATCGGTGTGCTCATCGTGTACATGATCATTATCGGTACGAGTTCGAACCATTTCAGTATATTTTGGAATATTGTCAATGGTTTCACTTGGACTTAGGTTATGAAATTGTGGAGTATCATCCTGTTTTGACGTTTAGACATTATTTGAAGGGGATGTGCTGTCCGGAACATCTTCGAGCGGGGTTCACCATGCTGGTGTTCTTGAAGGGTGGTTTGGAGAACACTGGTGGAATGGCCGTACCTTTGTTCTTCTTGTCACGACACTGGGAATATTTGCTCCTTTGGCATGCTTTAAGCGAATAGGTAAGCCTTGCATCTTCTATCATTTGGTTGGGGCATCTTGTATGCTTTCGCTCTGGTCTGATCTTAGTGTTTTTTTTTACTTGTTAATGGAATTGAAACAATCGTTTTTGTCCTGTGCGCGTGTACGGTTTAGTCTACTTTAAATTACCTACCGATTGGTTTGGAAGATCTCGCCTGTTAGGATATATAGTTTTGCTAGTCATATTTGGAAGTAATTTGATCTTATGGTGTGTCTTTCAGAGTGCTCAAGAATGGATCTTGATTTTACTGCTCTAATGCATTCTATGCTGCATCTCAGATCTCTAGTGAAGCTATCTTCACGGATATAACTTGATGTTGTTCTTGTTATATTTGGCCACGACTCAGTGAGACTGATGTGATTTTCTTATTCTGGTTGCAGATTCATTGAGATTCACATCTGCCTTGTCTGTTGCACTGGCAGTGGTGTTTCTTGTTATCACTGCGGGAATTTCAATCATTAAATTGATTTCGGGAGGCGTTGCAATGCCCAGAATGCTACCTGATATAACTGATTTGGCATCATTCTGGAATCTCTTCACTGTAGTTCCTGTTCTCGTCACTGCATATATCTGCCATTACAATGGTATGCTTGTGACTGGGAATTCATGATGTCCCTGTATTATTGCTCCCACTTCCAAATCTACATGTGTTCATGGCAAAGCATCATTTGCATGATTAGTCATTTAAACTTCGACATCAACTTAAAAGTTCAAATGAATTGGCATTTATTCAAGTTGATGCTTGAGGTTCTTTTTTAATATAAGATCTTGAACATTCCAAATGTGCTTGCATTGTAAAAGTGCATGCTTAATTTTTTCCTGGTGTTGGCTGATCCTTGTTTTTTTATGTTGTTTTGACGATCTTAGTAGTATTGATTATTATTCTTTCGGAGCTATTGTTTGTAATTAGTATTTGTGTGAGTTTTAACCCTGCACGAGAATTGGTCTATTAAATATGAACTTGCAAGAAGTTGAACCTGAGAAGTTTGATTAAATACGGGCAAATCGCATGATTTGTTTTGATATGTGAACCAAAGAGCTAGACCAGTTAATTGACTTTTGATTTTCTTCACAATTTTGCAGTCCACAGCATCGACAATGAACTCGAAGATTCCACACAGATAAAGGCAGTTGTGGGAACATCACTTGCTCTGTGCTCGTCTGTGTATATAATGACTAGCTTCTTTGGGTTCCTCCTCTTTGGTGATGGGACACTTGACGATGTGCTTGCTAATTTTGACACCAACCTTGGCATTCCTTACGGTTCCTTGCTCAATGATGCTGTTCGTGTTAGCTACGCAGCGCATCTTATGCTTGTATTTCCCATCGTCTTCTATCCACTGCGACTGAACATGGACGGTCTTCTCTTTCCCTCTGCAAGGCCACTTGTTTTAGTTAACCTGAGGTTTACATTGCTCACAACCGGTCTTATCACTGTAATATTCATGGGTGCAAATTTTATCCCCAGCATCTGGGATGCTTTTCAATTTACTGGAGCGACAGCTGCTGTTTGCCTTGGGTTCATTTTTCCCGCTGCTATTACTCTGAGGTGAGCATTTGCTTTCCCTCAATTGCTGAACGTATTGAGTTGGCACCTTCAATAGTGTTTCCTTATAAATTGATCTCTCTGGGCCTTTCTGACAAGACAGATGCTGAGCAATGAACTATGTTCATTATCAGCTCCACACTTAATTGGAAAAGGATATTTGAGGTCCCTGACTTTGGGAGTGTAATGTGCTGGTTTGTGGCTTAAGAAATGATGATGCCACCAATGCAACATGCCTTTGCCAGCTAAGAATGGCAGTACTTTTAGGTTTTCAGTTTTGAGAGAGAGAGAGAGGGAGAGAGGCAGGCAGGCAGGCAGGCAGGAGAGTTTATGAAGTTTATCTCATTTTACTCTAATGGTTTTGCTTTGTTTGCCATGTGACATAATTAAATTCTATGGTAGATAAGTTCTCGATTCTTCTTGCTGCTTTTTTTCTTGCTACCTGTAAATTTCAATCTGACAGTATCTGTTTCTCGTTGGAAGAATCGTTAAAAACTCAACACCAATTCCACTGTGCTAATTGCAGGGATCATCACAGCATAGCAACCAAGAAGGACAGGATCTTAGCCATTTTCATGATTGTTCTTGCCGTCTTCTCAAACCTGGTGGCTATCTACAGCGATGCTTATGCTTTGTTCAAGAAGCATGAATCTCCCCGTGAATGATGGCTACAGCATCTGGACTTGGTCATGTGGAGAACGAGATAGCAATGGATGCTGAGTCAACTTTAATAACAGAGAAGACATGGGAATCCTTACTCTGTAGGATTCAAACCCGGAAACGTGTCGCGCCGGTCATTGTACAAATCTGCTAGTTTGAAAAATGTATAAAGCCGTGTGAGGACTGGGGTTAGTATTGTTGTCTTCTGCTCGATACTGCTTTACCAACTATAGACTCGAAATAATAGTGTTGTGATTTAGACTTTATCTCCCTATTTCTTGTTCGAGTTTATTTATGGCATGAAACTACTCGAATCATGGGTCTAGTTCTTACCTGCATTCACTAGCACCGTTGGCATCCGTCGGAGCAAAGTAGGAAGGATGCGGTGGGGAAGTTATCCTTTTCTCATTACAAGTGGAATCAAAATAGGCATCTTTTGACACCAGCGCATTGCCTCAAAATCTAATATCTAAGTACTCGGATTATTCTTCTTGTTCCCTTTGCTTGTTCTCTTAAAATACTGGTCATTCGCGAGAGGTCACCCTTATTATCATCTGAACTACCTTTCGTTCTTTCCCCCTTTTGCACGGCTATTAAGTTGTTTTCATGAGGAAGACTAATTTGTGTTGTCCGTATGCCAGTTTTGACTATCAGACCAACCGTGAATGCACCTTGTATACAAGCAAAATGATGCCCCCTCCCTAGAAAATAAGCCCGGTTCTGTCTTAAACCAGCCTTACACAAGAATGGACAATGACGACAAATGATTGGAACATTCGCCGGCAACATGGAAATACTTCAAGCCTCTGAAAGATTTGATTATCAATTTGAGCGTGTACAAACAGAATTATCTTTTCCTTACCAAAAAAAAAAAACAGAACTATCTTTTAAAGCTCTCTCATTCGGACAATAGCTCCAAGGTTTGAAGAATCTTATACCCTTGTTCATATCATTGTACGAGAAAATCCATAATGAACTTGAATTAGCTCATTTATAAAACATCAATTTCCGGTCGTTACAAACTTACAGTTACATACTGCTATAAATAGAGTTGAAACAAATGGATTGTAATGAAGACAAGTTCTTCACGAGCTATAAGCCAATTTGTGGTCTTGTACCAATATACTTAGAATGCACGCGATTCAAGAAGAATAAGAAATGATCAACGACAATTCAAATTCCATCACAACATATGCGGGGGAGTTGCAGGAAGTACTTGATCCTCTTTAACTTATTAGAGCGAGCAAAATCAATTGAATTGATACATAAGTTTTAAAGCTTCTTGTGCAATTACCCCAACACATTACAAGCCTGGACATCTACTCATCGCTTACAATGACTATATACAACACTGTACATGTAACTAACATGATAAATATGTATGGAATGGTGTCTGTCTGAACTGTTAAGAGACTGCAAGTCACTACGGATTACCAAAATTAGCAACAAATGGTACAAGTCTTCTATAATCCCTCCTCCGTCCAAGAGCACAGTTATCAAGCACCCGCCCAAGGATCAAGCGTGTATTCCTCAAAGCTACCTCCCTCGGTGGCAAACCTGGTTCAGTCGATCCTCCTTGCGAGGCCATACTCAGACCTGCCCCAAATGCAGACCCCATGGGGAATTGAAGAGGTCCACTCCTCGCCTTGAAGGACATTTGAGGAGCTAAAAGTTTATCATCACTCCCGAGGCCATTCTCGGACAATAACCCTGGATCTTGTGGATGGGAACCTGTCAAGGAGCTACAGCTCTGCAAGAGGGCTTCCAGAACACTCTGCGCCTCCCAACACAATGTGCTCTCCACCAACTGGGACACTATCGCATACATGTGTGGACTCTGGGCAGCGTCCATGGGAGTATGCTGAAGCAATGCCTTAAGCATGAGAAGCAACACGCGCTGGTACTCTACTGGCCCCTTCTCTAATAACCGGAGCAAGTGCCCAAAAGCAAGAGCAGAGTGCTTTGGAAACCACTCGTTGCACAGAAGCGGCGACACACAGGCAAGGAGGTTATCGACACTCTTGATCTCACCCTGGGAGTAAGCCATAAATACCGTAGCTAAGTCTTCCAACGATTTTGCTTGACACCAGATAGATATGTTGGCCGCAACCGAGCAAGCCTTCTGATACTGCTGCTGGAGCGGAGAAGCAGGACCCACCACTAGATCATTGCTCAGCTGCAAGCAGAGCCATGGGAGTAAGCACGTGATATGCATCAAGAGTCTTGTCTCTGCATCCCCAAAAATTGAGTCACAGGAATGCACGGTGATCCGTGAGAGGACATCGATAGAGACGCCGTGACTAACAGTCGACATGAGTCCTTTTAGCACGAGAGGCTGAACCCCTTCAAAAACTGGCAGGTTCCCACTGGATGGCGGAATTTCAGAGGCACTTCTGGAATCCATCCGCTGAAATTCTCCCATGTCACTACCAGAGGCATCAAGCTCATCTCTGGGCATGCTTGAGAGGAGTACATTTTCTGTTGTTCTATCTCGAAACGATAAGCGATCGATTATACGGGAGAAGAGCTCAAGTACCTGACAGTACACATGAACAAAATCTGTGTGCATCATCGCCACACACCCCCAAAAGAGTTGAGGATAAAGTATTAACTTCTCTGGCTCCATGTTCTCCACCATGACTTGCAATGTCAAGAGAATTTCCATAACAAAACCCAGAACTGGAGGCACCGGGTTTCCTAAGCATCTGTGAAGGCAGCGGAGGAGTGATACACATGTATCACTGGTAACGGTGGGTCGAAGTGCACGGTAAATCTGGTGGGAGCGACATGCAAGGTGTCTTGAGGTGCACTCCATCGCCCATTTAAGTGCCTCGGTCCCCCAAGTTTCACGTAAATCTCCTTGAAAAAAGATTGCATCAACCATGCTCTGAACTAGGGAAGATAGAAGAGCTGCGCTTGGAAGCTCAGTTCTAGTAACTGTGGGATCCTCATTTTCCCACATCATGCTCCCACGCTTTGACTGGACATATTTGATCAGGCTCACGACCTGCTGTTTGTTCTCTCCATCACTATTTTCAACTTCATATAACTCCAAGTGGCGTCCAGCAAGCGAGTACAACAAATTAACAAGCAAGTGTTGGCAGTGCTCCAGCACAATATCTTCTGAACTATCCATCGACACAAACGTGACATGAAATAGCAGAGGAAGGTGCTCACGGAAGTCTTCATCATTTTCATATGCGATTTCTGCAAGCAGAATCAATGCTATATCTGCATGGGTGAGTGAATGTTGCTGATGCCCTTGCAATGCCGATCGCAGTTCTTTTGCATTTACGGGATGCCCTGCAACACCAGAATGAATCCCCTCTTCTCCAGAGTTTGGAGTATCGATCAGGTAGTCCCCACTATCTCGAGAAACATGGCGGCTTCTCATACTTCCAGTTGAACTTCTGACCCCAATTAATGGCCCTGACATGTTCACCAGAGCAGGAAGCAGCTGACCTGATCGTCCTGCAGTTACTGGAACTATGCTCAGCTCAGGAGGCATTGGGCTAAGTGGGCCTGATACACTTCTTCCAGTCACAGCTGCTGTTCTCCAGCTCAGGCTGCCACTTGTATTCCGAAGTGGACCGTCAAGGGAACCTCGAACAAGCAGCGGTGACATGTGTGGTTGGCTGTCCACTAAAGCTGCAACCTGGGCTGCTGGAGGACCCTGAGAGAATTCCAATAAAAAGTTTCCACCTGCATCGCCCTTATTTCCACCTGGCAGAACAGGTTCAATACTATCTTCCAGCATCCTCTGAGACAACTGGAAAACTAAGTGATCGATTGTCCGCTGTGGACATATGCGAGCCAAGTATAAACTTACTCGCTTTGCAACAGAGAAATACGTAGCAAATGCACCACTAATTTCTGTAGATGCATTTGAATCGCAATCTTCGATCCCTTTTGTTATCAGGAAATCTAGAACTGGGCTAATGTTCCTAGGCTTGCTAGCAATAGTCCTCCACAGCTTCTCAATCTCATCTGGAAATTGGTCACCGTGCCGCCATGTCACGTAGTAAAGACTTTTCAACAATCTTTCACTCCAACCAGACTCTTTGAGTTTCCAGAAATTGAGATTCTCAATCCATGGAGCCATGCATGTCAGGACCTGATGCTGTGCTATAATATCAACCGCATCAAGTTGTCTCTGCATAATTTCCTCACACAGAAGCTGACTTAGTTCAGGATGATCTTTAGCCAACTTGCATGACAACTTGTACTGAAACTGTTGGTAGGAATCAGGGAGATTTCCAACAACAGCAGCTCGGTAGCTTCCCGAACCATCAATGCCATCCTCTGCCCACTCACGGTCTGAAAGCGTCTCTAGCATCTGAAGCGCTTCATCACGAATTTGCCTAGATGGATCAACCACCTTGTACAGGATAAGGCTCAAGAGTCGCTGGATTTCACATTTTGGTATTTCTTGCCGCATGTAGACCTCAGCCAACACGCTGAAGTATCCGTCAGCAATGGTAGGATCTGAATAGTAGCACTGCAGAAAAGGTAAACCTATGTGAGTTCCAAGAGGAGATGACTATGCCATGCCAGCTAGAGGCAGTTTTTAAAATAGCCCATTGAGCCTAGTGTGTTACAGTATACAGCTGTAAACAGGTCCAGATTGGTGTAGAAGAGTGTGTGAAAGACATTACCTGATCAATGCATGCAAGAAACAGGTCCAAATTGGTGAGAAGCAGGTTCTTTAAGGCCAACTTTGCCAGTGAAGCACGAAGATGACCACCTCTGTTACGAGCAGCAGTTCCCCGCCCACCTTCTCCTGTGTACTTGGAATAAGAGGGAGTTCGTGGATCAGCCGGTGAGTAACCAAAAGGAGCTCTCGCACTTGGTTCCATAAATAAACTATTGATCCAAGAGATCACTCTGCCACTCATTTTTCTTGCATTGTCATCAAAGCAAGGCCCATATAGAAGTGAAGCCATAGCATTCATCGAGGCCCACTGGATTGCCTCCACCTGTTCGCTAACTTCTCTATCAAAAGAAAGTTTATCTACAGAATCCTTTGACCGAGAATGCTGCGAGGACTTGTACCGCTCAACCTCACGACGATGGTCAGTAACACCATCCTGACTCCATGTGCTCACTGCATCATCACACCATGAGAGAAGCAGATCAAATAGTTTCTTCCTGGTTCTAAGATCGAACCTTTCAGACTTTGATTCAACAAATTCAGGGGCAAGCGTTTTTAGAATAGAAGCAAGTGCATAACGGAGAGGTTGAATCTCAGGGAAACTTTCAGGAGGTG